TATACATCGAGCGAATTAAGGCAATAAATCAGGGAATTAATTTCAAAGTATACAGCTCGATAGTGAGTCTTAAGAAGTCTAAGCATTATAATCATTTAACTTTAATGGCAACACACGGTTATAATAAAAAGGATAAACATATAATTCAACTATAAAATGTGAATTTTGTTATAAATCACTATTTTTATAATTAGATTGAGACGATGTATAAGTCAAACACATATTTTCCAAAAAGTTTTATTTGGAATTAAATGAATGGCTTTGGGTTATTCAATATTTCAAATGTACACTTTTATTATTATTATCTTATTAGTTTCAAAAATAAACGACTGATCCATTTTTGTTGCAACGATTAAGGTTTTTTGTGATAACGAAATTATACTCTATATGGCCAAAATACAATTTGTTTAATAAAGCTATACAAATTGTATTTGTAAAACACAAAAGTGATTTTTTCTAAAACTTAAAAAATGTGTATTGCCAACAGTGATTTGCCTTTTGTCTACATTAACAAATGATACAAAACGTATCGTCGTATTTTGTACAATGTAGAATTTTTAAAATGTTTAATAATATAAGACTCAAAAAGCGACTCTAACAATACAAATTTGGATTTTTAAGTTTATTTTGGATTTACAAACTTGAAATTTAGTATATGACCTGTTATATAATCACAAAATAAAGATGCCCAATAAAATAAACAATTTTAACCAAATTGGAAATTACCCAACCTTTTTATAGGACCCTAATCCCATCCTCATAAGTAATCTGTAGCTGTTCATAAAAATGGTTTCCTGAATTACTTGTTATTGTTATAGAGTCACCGCAGCTTTTTTAATATTTAATTCCATACTTTAGTTTTGTACTACATTTTCGTTTCCGGCGTTGCTCATTTAACAGAAAGACATGTCTAGTTGTCAGTCGGCTAAAATATGTCTGGTATGGTTTGTCTATGTAAAACAAAACATTTTTATAAACGTAGTACATTATTTGTCTAAATATTAGTCGAATTATAATCCTAATCTGCTCAGAAGTCACCGTCTAGCCAGTAATGACGTACTGTACGTTTGAAATGTAATCCAACAGAGGTACACTAAGGTCTGGTTGTTTATCAGAAGTTCAAATGCCTGTGTGTCCTATGATGGTTACTTAGGAACTCAAGAGTAAAAAACATAAATGAAATGTCTAGAGGTCAATTTAGAGGTATATATTATATTAAATAGGCATAGAAGTCAGGAGTGATAAGTAAGTAAAACAACATATTTAGTAATTTCTTAATGTATTATAGTAAAACATCATATATAAGAATATTTTCAAAAAGAAAACTATTTTAGAGATAAAATATATATAATAAGATACACAAAACAAACAATAAAACAAATATCTTAAGATTTGAGGTGAAAAATTAACTCTGTGAATGAACTCTGTGCGCTTTGAAATTCGAAAATGAATTATACTAGAGCAGTACCCTGGGACCATCAGATATTTATCCTATTTCGGTATCCCTTGTTGAACCAACGCCCTCGTAAAATTTAAATTAATTTGGCATAGATTCCAATTAATTATATGACAGCGCAATATAGTGGTTTTGATTAAATTCAAGATAATACCGCGTATCGTCTGATAGATGCTGCTGTGTAAGACATAAACCGTTTTCATAGGAAATTTCAACAAGGAATTAATTTCAACCACATGTCGGTAGATGTATCAATACACACACACACTTTAGTTACTTGAACGATTTTATTAAGTTATGAAACTATTTTATCGAGTTATCGCGTAGGCGTTGTTAGAGAGAACAAATTCGTGTACTTTCATACGGATTATGACGTTTTACCATTACTGTACACTCTACTGACATAAATAAAATTAAAATAATAAATACTATTTTAGAGTTCCTATGTAAAACAACAGATATCAACAGCTATTGTTATCCGCGCATAGACGGCGAAGGAAAGTTATCTTAATGATTATTTAAAACGACTATTGTCAACAACGTCACAGCGACAAGAAGAATACTCGAGAAGATCGTTTAGTAACGAATAAATCATTGTCGGCTGACAAAATGCCCATTGTAGTGCTCAAAGTGTAAGCCTGAAAAAAATCCTAGTTATAATTCTATTCATAGTACTTATAGATATTCAAATAAATTACAATATTTCAATGCACGTTTTTCTTTTACTAGTTTTATTTAATTAAAAGGCTTTCTGTAAAAGGGAACCGAAAGACGGGCACCAGTACATAGTTATTAAATCATTAGGTGTTATATATATTGCATATTTTAATATTGTTGTTGTAGTTCCTATTGCAAAACAACCCATCTCAACAGTTCAAGACTAGCATAGAGTTATGTCCAAATTGAACAACAGACTACGGCATTAGTTTATAAATCTAAATAATATATTCCTCTTGTAAATGTATTCTTATTATGTTTAGATCTGAGTATTATAAAGTGTTCGTTTTACATATCTCATCACATGATAAGCTGAAAATATGATTTCATTTTTTAATGTTTTATGCAAAAAACACCCAAATGATAATCAATTAGACGATTACAGTAGTTCAGACTTAAAATAAAACAATTTTTTGTGTTTATTACAAATAATTTTTATACTCTTGCAAGCTTAGAACTATTATAATTAAAATTAAGATTTTTGGACGCCCATTTAGTATTGTTTTTTAATTAGGTTGGTAACTTTATGCTCTACGGAGTGGTCCATAAAGTAAGACATTAGGTTTCTCTGAAAATAATTAAACTTTTGTAGTTTTTATTTTTGGTGAAATTTTAGTTATTTTGAGCTATTTTACAGTATTAAACATCATTGTATTAAAAAAAAAGTTTTTTTTTAAATTCTAGTGTTTTATCAACTTTTGAAACTCCAACATCAACGTACATATTTTATTAACTTTTTAAATAGAGATTAATTTAACAAAAATGTTCACTGGTCGATTATCGGTTTTGAATGATTACTTTTGAAGTTATATATAAGGCAAATATATACTTTACCGCTTAAGTAAGGTAGTGGTAGTAGGTTAGTTTCTAAAGTTAAGATAGAACTCTAAAAAATATTAAGAATGACAAATATTTGGTAATTTAAATAATATTTTAAAATAACATAGCAAAACCATTTTTTCAAAAAGAGAAACTCCAAAATTGTAATTATTTAAACAGATATTAGGTGTCCTACGTTAAAAGGACTACTTTGTTTATTTTTTCACTCTTATGGCCTAGGCCATATAATTAACTGATTAAAAACACGGTTGACCTGTTTGAAATGTAGTTTTATCGACGAGTTTTCCCAACAAATGTGATAACGTATAAAAAGTCAATTTATATTATATGTCTGTGATTTTTTATGTGCTTTTTAATCTGGCTCACGCCTACATTGCTATCATTTTGTCGACTTCTAGACGGCACTGCTTTTTATTTCCCGACGGCTTAAGTGCAGCAGGTCTGGCCTATAAAAAAAGTCACCCCGGTTGTTTAATTCACAACAATAGTGTATGCCACGCTGAAAAAAAAAACCCCTCTAGGCTTGCACATTTTATTAAATAGACTGCACATCATGAAAGCCGAGTCGGATTTAGTGCGCCCATAATTAGTATTATAATTATTAAAAATGTAACTTGAATAGACATTTCTCACCTCAATTGACACGGGAAATACAAAACTTGGTTACATTTAATTGTTGTAGAGAATTGGTTTAATAGATTACATATTCTAAATGATTAGAATTATCAATTCCATTCGTCAGATTTAAACATGACAGATTGTCATGTTTAACCAGGTAGAAACCGGGTATCCAGAGTAATGGATTTCATAAAGAGGAATTGTTAAACTACACTGGCACTTATTTAAAAATAAATTATGAATTACTCCCATATTCAGGTTTAGTCTTAAAATCAACGAATCCAATGCAAGAAATATTTCCTTTATTCCAAATCTTACACTACGAATAGCCACCAGGTTTAAATATGTATCAGTAACATAAGTGTGCGTTTTATTATTATTAAAAATGTTTTATATAGATTCAAAAATAGTAATTCATTATTGTAACTGCTTTCTTGTTCTTTAAAAGCCATACATGAAGGGAAACAAAATTTGATTTCTCTAACTTTTTATAACCTCTCAAAACGGTTTTGGGTTTGAGAATAAACTGTTTTTAATTATAGTAATATATAATTTATATAACTGTTGACAGATAATAAAAGACAATTTTGCATTCTAGAATTGACACATTTTAACACACGAGAATCCCATTTGAACACATAATGTTAATGCAATAGAAATGCTTCTCGAACGAAAAACACTTTACAAAAAAAAAAATATATTTTTTTTTATCTTCACGATAAACATTAAAGAAATTAAAACTAAGTGATGTTCTTTTTTACAAAATCAACATTTGATTTTCAATCAAATTTCTGTGCCCACCCCTCCCCCCATCCCGAAGAACCTAATTGTATTAAAACTGAGCAAGCTCGCTTATTATGGAATTTAATATTTACAATCTGTACAGGTGTACATTTTAGTTGAATAAAGTTTAACCCTTTACATTCTTAATATTATGATGTGATAAAATATTTCTCAGCAGGTACATCTTACTTTACCATAACAACTAGAAGACTGTAATTATACTGCTATAGTTTATAATATTATGTTATATTAATTTTAAATGAAATTAATCTGGTCTATTAGATAAATTTGCCTTAGAACATAACTTAGTTGAAAATCCAGCCTAAGTTGCAAAAATTTAAAAAAAAATCCTATATTAAATCGTCATTCCATCAACACCAGTTGAACAATGGATGTTGAATGTTTTAAATATGTTTATTTTTTTATGCAGTTTTATATTTTTATTCCTTAAGCTGTTTTTTTCAGTAAGACGATTTGCTTATGATTTAATCGTTAATGTCAATAATTTAAATGCATTCGTCAAAAACAAAACTAGTGGTTTTAAGCAAACAACAACATTCCTAAATTTCGAGTATTATTAAATTACCTGACGCTATCGGACCTGGTGTTAGGTGACCAATCCTTTGAGTAGGTAAATCGTCTGCTACCGCTGGTTCTCAGGTTTCTGGCATCGTTCCAACGAATGAAATGATGTTTGAATGTGTTCTTGACTTCGGAATTGACGAAACAGTAGAATATTGCCACAATAAATCCCTAAAATTACAAGACATATTTACATCATATAAATTTAAGTAAAATATTGATAGAAACAAACAACTAACATTAATTTCAACATCAAACGGCATTGTTCATTAGATTTTGAGCGTTTTATATTAGGAAATAATTAGGTTCAAGTATAACAAATCTAAAACACAATCTTAACGTTAACTGCGATTGATAACTATTTTAATAACCAACCGTCACAATGTTTCTTAAGTACAATGACAACATGTTTTTTGCAGGAAAACAAATAATAACATAATATAACAAACTGTTCAACAATATTGTCTACAGATTATAGATTTAATAACTCATTTTGTGATATTGTGGTAATATTAACATTGGTTTAATGTTGTACTCAATTATATTTATAAATTTAAATTTATACTGCAATTTTACTATTCTATTGTCATCTAAAATCAACGTAAGACTATTTCTAGAATACAGTAGTTGTAATTATTAGTTAATAAACTTGTAATACCTAGATAATTATACATCAGTTTATTCAACGACTATAATAATTGTGTAGCACCGGAGTAATTGATTGTTAGCTTGGATCTATCTTCGATGCACGGGATGTAATCAAAACCAAGTTGGAGCAAGTGATCATCGACACAATCGATGAAGGAATCTACTTTTGTCACAAACAATTCATAGATAGACTCTAGTGTTCGGCATCCATAGTCTGTCTTTTAGCATCCAACCAGCTTGGCTGTTGAACTGAAAGAACCACATACCTTGCCAATTCTGTTGCTGTTTAAGACGTCTGAGCATGGCAAAAACCACCGGAATCAAATGCTTTATCAATGCGTTTGATTCCATCTCGAATATGTAATTAGACTTGAACGATACCACTCGATCCGTTGGGGGTGACTAGCGTGGTTTATATTATAATGAACAAAAAACCTAATGTGTACCTACCTACCTATGACCTATGTACATAATATTTGTGTAACGTAGTAGACAACGTATACGCTTTATGTTTGCCCAGTGTCTGTGTTTGTTATTCATATCGATACTATTAATATTATTAAAACGTCAAACTAGACACACAAAACGCAATAATTATATAATAATGTAATATATTAAAAAAAAACCCATTTTTGTTAACGTGTTTACCTTTGACTAATCATTTTTAAATATAGAATATTATGTCAAGTGCTCCTCCTACATTAGTCTAATTTTCAATAAAAAATAATCCAATATAGTAAAAAATAACTTAAACATTACAGTATAAAAGAATTCTATTGACGGAAATCAGTTACATAATGAGAGTGAACTTTTTTCTTTTTATCTAAAAATGAACTCCTAGTAATATCAGCTATCGCTGACTAAATTATACAAACTTAGTATGCCATACATAGTATCCTACAACACCCTACGACTAAACCTTTTGGAGGGGTTGGAAATAAATTGTTATTGACAGTGAACAAAGCATTTTTGTAATTAATCAATTTAATTACAAGGTATTAAAAAAAATATATTTGGTTGATTTAAAATAATATTTAACAAAATATTGAAATTAAAAAAAAATACTTTATTCACTGTCAATAACAATTTGTTGACGTTTATTTTGTGTATATATTTTTTAGTTTGTATAACGCGCTCGCTGTTCGCTCAGTAACTGTAGTTCTTTATATTGATAAAACTATCAATATTATACAATAAATTAAACATCATGGGTTATTAGTACAGTAATGTCACTTGTTCGTATTTACTTATAGTGTTTTTTTTTGGTATTTATAAAAGGCTTAGCACGTCTACAGGTGTTTCACTACATAACTTATTGGCTTAAAATAAAGTTATTTATATAAATTAAAAAATTAAGAAAACTTTTAACATCGTTAATGAAATAAAGGCTAAATAAATTAATGTTATCTAATGAACAACTAAAAACACATTATTGTAAAGGCAATCCTTCGCAATTACGCAACGAAGCTACAAATTAATTATGGAAACAAACATTTCAATAATATTTCTTATTTGTCATACACATTCGAAAAACTCTACAACACCAATTTTCTACTTCCATAACCATAATATAAACATAACCACATCTCATAATGCCAATGGATCATATAAAAGTATGCATTAATAACATTTTCCTTCATAAAGCGTTTGATGAATGTTAGCCTTTTAAAAAAGTAAAAAAAAATTGTTTTAAAGCGATTCGGTTTAACTTTTATTCTTTAGGTTTTGGCATTTTTACTTTTTATTTAGTTCGGCATCGGTATTTTTTCTCTACAAGAAAAATAATAAATATAATCCGCGGTTAACCTGAGTAAAAAAAAAAAAAAAAACTTTGTAACATTATTACCAGGCCGTCAACCCTTGTCTACTTGTTTAAATGGAAAAACTAGGCCAAACTAAAAAAAACAACATAGTAAAATGTATAAAACCAAAATCGTAACGAAATGACATTAAGGAAAAAAGAAACCGGGTTTCAAAGTGCTTTCAAAGAAAAGTTTCAATGTTTTTCCGGTACGGTTTCCACGGTAGTATCAGTGGCTGCAAATTGATTATTATCGTTTGTCCTAATGCAAAACGAGTGTCGGCCGGAAATATAAAGAAAACACAAATTTCGGAGTAGGTTAGAGCAGCAAAATCTGTCGGTAATGAGTTTGAAAACTTTTGGTATTACAATCAGAAGACGCGTGGAAAATTTCCCGACAGTCAGCAAGCATATAAAGGTAACGTTAATTCAATAAAATATTATTCCACGTAGCCCGATGCATTAACGAACATAACGAGGTGGCGACGGACAACTTTCTTCGAGTTTGTGTCTTCGGCTCAACAATCCAGCTGAGAAAATATTATAATAATATTCACAGATAATTCCTTAACCGACGCGACGACTCGGATGAACGCACTGTTGTTGGTCCTTCTTGCGTGTTAAAATACTCTGATATCTCAAAAAGCTAATTATGACTTGGATAGTAGACTGTTTATCATATTATTGTATACAGAGTGATCCATTCAAAGTTTAACAGTCAGAGCAAATGTGTATAGAATAAATTAAGAAGATTAGGGATGCTGTTTTACAAGATTCGCTTTCAATTGTTCGGCTAGTAAATTATACGGCCATATGTGACTCAAGTTTAATATGCGGAATTCCACGGTGGGTGACGTTAACAGAACGGAAAATTCAAATCTACCTTAAGCCCAGAAGTGTGTAATAAAAATAGCTTATTGTCTACCAGGTGCATACCCATCAAAAGAAAATATAAGAAGAATCTACCTAACTGTACGATTAAAATCATAAATAATACACGTCCTATTAAGTTTTTGTTTTTACATACTTAGAAAAATATATTATAACCTATAATTATCGCTCAGTTGGTATTGAATCGGCTCGATTGCAGTTTTTATTATATTAAACATGTAATAAAATTACAATTATGCTGAATTAAATAAAATTGGTATAAAATGTATGGGATTTTGCGAGACTTGGTTTTTTTTATTGTATTTTAACGATAAATCGGCGCTGAATGTAAATCCAGGGTGTCAGCTTGCATAATAATATTATTATTACTATAATAACTTGACGTGTAATATTCACCTGCATGGATAGTAATAGCGCTCGACCGTATGAATAATAGTTGGCGTACATGCTGTTTCCCGATGGTCCTACCATTGTCAATATGTAAGTCACGCCCAGCAGAGGTATGAGAATTAATAGGGCTTTACTCGCTCTGCGAAACTGTTGCGTTTCCGCCGAATTAGCCGAACGGAGCTTCGTGATGAGTACCTGTAAAAACAATTATTATATAAAACAAATTTAAAAAAAATTGCATATAGAAAATCCGTAGGAAATAAAAAAAAGTTAATTATGTGAAAACGGTTTGAAACAATCAAAAACGTCGAACCGAACCACCGCTTCGGTTGGAATATATTTTGTACTATGGAACTCACCCACATGATTCTGGCCAGGAAAATCAAGTTTATAATCAACACCAAAATGGCCGGACTTTGGTAGATCCAGTCGTGCACGGGATGAGGGTCTATCCACATGCACTGGACACCGTTGACCGGCAACGATGAGCTGTTGTTGGCAATCTGCGAACAAACGATGCACATTAGTAGAACGCTACAAATGAAGAATATACAGGTAATATAGTTTAATTGTGACCAGCAGCGGACTGATCAAGGGATGTAGGGTTAGGAGACATATTTCGAGCTTGTAAAAATGAAAGTTCACAAAATCACCTTAAAGTTAAGCTATGCTTTATGATACTGTTCAACTTTACTTTTTATAATTTTTTATATGGACTTTGAAAATCAGTTACCCGCCCATCAGGATATCGTACTAAGTAATCGTTTTAACCAACATTAATTTTTGTAGCTAGTTATAGCACATAGTGTAAATTGTGGCTTAATAATGTTTTCAATCCCTGATGTTTAACGCTCAATTTTGCTGATTAATACTTACATCAGCCGTTTTTACATTATATAATTAGTAGATTAAAATATCTTAGAAGGTACTACTTTTTATAGTCTTCTTGTTTATACTTTTATTGTTAATAAACTGCTTATTTTTGATAATATATTTTTGAAAAATAAACTGCTATGAAAACCTTATGAACTATTTAAAAAAAAAAATTGGTAACGTACAGATTTTATTATTATTTTAAAATAAGAATAAATTTAAGGGCCACAGTTTATTGTTGAAAAATATATCAAATTCGGTCTAACTATTAACAATAGAAGTATAATAATATGAAAAATAATAATTTAAAAATAGTCCAATATCTTTCAGGATATTGACCGGGTATATCTTAGTTAACCAACCACCTTGTATCTTATTTTATTCAACACACAGCCAAATTCGAGAGAGGTTTCTACGAAAAACTGCGAACTGTGTGTCGTCGAACCGTGATAATGGCTGAAATAAGTTTCCCCAAAGGTAAAACTAAAAGTGGTAAAAGATGGCAAAGGCCTTTGAAAAAAAAACTATTCAACGTCGAAATGAGAAAGTCAATAATATGCTAACTGTGCACGTGTTCGAGCAGCATTATATCGCCCCTAAAAAATATGTATGAGGAGGGCACGACCCAACAACACTTCAGAAATTAGTTTTTTTTTTTATCAAAAAGGAAACTGTTTTTTCTGCCAATACATCTCGACAATACAATATAGTCTATACGTGTGCAGTGTAGAAAATATATTGAGTTGAAATATATTTTCGGTAAACGAAAATCTTTTTTTTTTTTTTGTTTAATAATTCTTAAAACTGCCAACAACGTTGACGGAAAATAAATAATATTTATATAAAAAAACAAATTGGATTTACAGTGAAATTAAAGTTCAATTTATTGGCGTAGCTGTTTTCGCCTGATCTAAACAATATATACATATATATAGAGTAAAAAGTCAATAAAAATACTCGTATTATTATGTCTGATCGGCATTCGACGGTAATGCAAGTTACAACAACCCAAGTTGAATGCATAATGACAGTACACAGGACATGGTGATAATAATATGAGAACAAGACCCTTTAAAAAATATGTGATATTAAAAACGATTCATCGTTTTCATATTTTATAGCGGAAAAATGTAGAACCGCCGTTTCAATATGGGTATAATAACGTTCATAATAATATAAAAGTGATAAATTATTAAACAGTGGAAAATTCATTCTGCTGTTCCGTTGACTGTATTTTTTTTTTTTTCTGAATATTCTGTTAAAGAGTTTTATTAAAATATGTACAATTTTAACGAAAATTTATTTTTGAAACCCTATTCAAGGATTATAATATTATGTTTATAGCTTCGACGTGGTGCTGGGAAGACGTAGGTTTTTTTTGTATTTTCTTACATTGTTTGCCTCAAAAAATTCACGAAGAGGTTCAATCCAGTTAAGTTTTCATTGTCAGTCCCTTGAAACTACTAGTGATGTCGGTCGGTGTTTTTGAATAAATATACATCCTTGATTCGCCAAGAATAAGATTCATTTTTCTTAAAGTAATCGCAATTTTGTAGTTTTTTTTTTTTTAAACATTTGTTGTGAATGTTGTTTTAGAAAATATTTACTTTTTCCCTCGAAGAAAAGGATCACGCATATGCATATGTTTCTGCACCCTTCCCAATCCCTCCTTTTACTTGTCCTTTCCACAGCTACAAAATTGAAATTATTTTAGGTGAAAATTAGTGTCACCGCGTTCATATTTTATTTTAACCTTGTCGAATATGTCTCTAGGTTCGTTTTAGTGATCCGTTTTTGGCTCAAGGTTGGTGGTGTTAAAATTTTAAGACTACTATGGTTAGTCAATGGTGCGTTGGTCACGTGTCGAACGAGGTTTATCTATACTTATTGGATTGTCGACCGTTAGCTGCTGGGGTCCGATTTCTTGACAGTTATGAATGTGCTTGCCACCGAAAACACCTCCGTTTGTCACAGCGCCAGACGAGAGCCCTGTTTCCATTGTCATCGGTTATATGCCTTAAAAAGTCATCTAGACGTTGTTGTTGTTCCACGTTGGCAACAAAACGGACCTTTGAAAGCAAAAGCCAACATTTGCCACGCAGCTGAACTTATAATATTATCTACTCTTTCGGGTACACTTTAATTATTCGAATAAAGCTAAGTTAACGAATACATTTTCCAACTCTAACAACGCAATTATATTTTATGAGCGACAATACGGTTTACAAGACAGTCGGTTTGATGATGATGATGATGAGACGAAGGAGCGGACAAAAAAACAAAATTTGAATTATTTAGATAATTTTTTTTCTTGATTTGTGAAGAAACTCCTTTTATATAATTTATCATACGGCGGATGTGATATCTCTCTGTTCTCTGTTCTTTAAATTATATTGTACTTCTGCGAATTGTGCCCTGTTAATTAATTTAAAAAAAAAAAACCCTTTACACATTATTAATTATAAACGTTATCGGTTGGCTTTCGGTGCACGTCGACCGTGTAAAATGTCCTCAGCCCGTTGAACACATCATACTGTGATAATTAATATACCATATTATGAATCTACCGCCGTTTTTAAAATATAAACTATCGAATATCCGCACACATAACAGTGAACCGCAATTAACTTAAATAATGAAGGGCGAAAAAACACTACCCGGCATATTCTGTCATTGGTACGTCAGCCGTTGGCCGTTACATGATATTGTATACATTTATTATATTATATCACAATATTTAAAAGTTAATTTTTTTTTTTGTTCAACACATTTAACCTATTAAAGTCGATTGCGAAACATAGGATACACAAGGAATCCGAGACACGCGCCGTTTAAAGGTAATACATATTGTCAGTGTTGAGGAAAAATTGTAATATGGTTAATGTTAGATATTTTGTATTATCATTAACCGGCAAAGTAATCTTATATGTACATGGTACGATGGTATTAATCGCTTTATAGCTTAATCATGGTTACATTAATGATTAGTGAAACTACTTTGTTCTTAACAGTTAGCGAACGAAAGCTAATGTTTTGAAATATTTAACAGTTGTTAACTAAACAAAATTAAAACAATCTCTTTGACCCAATGAAACCGAGTGAAACATAATCCATTAGTCGATCAATAGTCTATATAGCGCATTGTCATACCGCGTGATTCTTTTTCCAAAGTCATAAATTATCTATTACGGCGGCGGTTCAAAGAGGCGAGAACGTGATAATGGAAAAAGGTTAGCATATAGAGAATGATTTTGTTTTTCTTTTGTATTTTAGATTTTACGGTATCGTTAACAATGTTTTTCCGTTTCGGTGCTTAAGTGTTTGGCCGCTGATGGAAACGGGAAAAATAAGTTTTTCAATACACCGCACCGGTCGTCTGTCTTGTGGCTTTGTGGCGAAACTTTTGGATTCGGAGAGCAACGAAAAAAATTTAATTAATTTTATCTTTTGCGTTTGATGATCTTTAAAAGACTCTCCCTAACCGCATCTAACCTGGCCGTACTTACCGCGTTTTCAGGCGGTGTAATGATCTTGGCAACGCTCCAAATGATCATTATGATCAACGGCACTCCTGAAACAAACAAAATCCTCTGTAAGTAAAACGTTCGACGTTTCATAAGCCTTTAGCACAATGTTATCTGTTTCACGTGAGTAGCATTACAGTGGCTATGTTGGTTATACATATATTTATTCATTATAAATAGCTGTGAACTACAGTTGTTGATTTATGGACTTATCAAACTTCTAAAAACTATATTATATTTTTCAAATAACAGAAACTACAGCTACGATAATATGAAATGTAAACCCTTCGATACAACAAAAAAAAAAAATCCTGAAAACATATATTCCAAAATTCAAAGTGACTGTAACATAAAATTATTATTATACCCACCGGTTTCATACAGTCAGATAAATGTGGTACATTTTTTCAAAATTGGTGTGACGGTGAAATTCTGTTTGTTTTTGGTTTCATAACAGCCCCCTCCCCCTCCCGACTATCTACGGAGCCGCTAGAACGATCCCTTCGCATTACATAACATTGTATACATACACCGTACAAAGTATATCAGCCGGCAATGATTTGCGGTTAGTATACTTTGGGGGATCAAAAGTGGAAATGCGGTCACACCACTTCTCGTCTAAGACCGAAATAGGTACCCGAAAAAATATTCCATAAGGATTATTCAACCTTGACATGACCACACCAATCTTCATGGAAATCTGTGTACGAATATCCGTCCTAGTTTTTAGCAAAGCATAGCAAAAAGAAAACATTTTACAAACATAAAATAAGCTCTTAAAAAAAAAAATCTGTTAATTTTTATGTATATATAATGTTAAAGAGCAATTCGTTCCAGCTGAAGCTCCTTATTTTTATACAGGATGTATAAAGAATAAATTAATACGATTTAAGGAGTGCTGTTTTATGAGTTTTGTTTCTTACACAATTCAATTGTTAAGCAAGTACATAGTTATATATATATATATATATATATACTGCCGCATATTAAAATTGGTGGGGTGGCGTCAGCAGAACGGAAATGTCAAATCCACTTAAAGCCCAAAAGCGTTTAATGAAAATAGCTTACTATTGTGTTTACATTTTGTGAAGTGACAGACGTCCTGTTTAGAATATATTTTACGATTTAAAATAAATATAAAATGTCGTCTTAAAAAAAGCATTCGACGACGGAACGGTAGGAAAAAAATTTAAAAATTAATAAATTGATAATAATAACAAACGAAAAAAAACATACAATTGGTATCGTTTCTTTTTTGCGGTAGTCAAATTGTAAAGCTTCTGGAAAGAATAAAATTAGTAAAGTTTTCCGGATATTTTGTATTTTTACTTTTGTCTGGACGAAAAAAGCGAGAAATATGATTTTAAAATTTAAATTGAATAAACGTAGTATATTTTTTTTTCACTTGTTAAATAATAAATTCTATTGTACATTGTTCGTTAGACGTTAGCTGTACAATTATTCACTTCCATCCGAATAGTGAAAAATGGCGAATTAAACGAGCTATAAATTCGAACGTACATATCTCTGGAAATAATGGGTTTGTTATCATCAATCTTGCCATTGAAACAAAGCTCGGTTTTACTATAGGCTCATATTTTTATGGCATGCTGCAGTTCTCAATTTGTGTGGGACACTTGCAGTTTATTATATTTTATTTGCTCGGTCGAGTTTAACTTCAAAATACGTTTGTATCGTAGCAATTTTAAAAAAAACACTCAAACTAGGTAGATTTAGTAAAATATAAAATAAAATTCCATGTTTACACAGGCCAATGTAAATTATTAGAAGCCTACTCATTAAGGGATTGCATGCGGTCGGTTTTTAAGAAGTTTTGTATAAGCAATAGTTAAGAAATAAGAGGTTTTAATAAATTTCGATCATGTCAATTAATTCACCGATTAATTTGTATAAGATTCGAGGTATTATTTTTAATTTAAATAATTGTTTCTGTGAGTTAAAGCCATTTTAATTTATTCTAAACTAAAAAGCTAGACACAAATTTGTCTACATAGGATGATCCAATTTTAATTCTGTAAAGAAATTCAAATTTTTGGGCTAATTTACTATGTCAGGTAGGAAGCCAATTTTCATTTGAAAATTTCAGTTTCTAGTAGTTAAATCAATTCAATTTGCAATTTTTTCCATATTAAAACCTAATTTTTTACATAAAAAAAGCAAAAAATCTGTTTTCTTTATAACCTAGTAAAGTTGCCAAAGAACTCGTATATCTTTATAGAATTGAAATCACATTATCCTAAGTAGTCGAAATTTTATCTAGCTTTTTCTACCTAACCAATTCGTTTAGTAACAACTCTATGAATCACAAATTCTATCTAATTGGTTTTTTTTTTCTTATTAATATTTACCTTACACACATTTCACAACAAGTTTACTCATGAAAATTTTTAAGTGAATGACTTTTGTATTGACATAATATCTTTAATATATTAAATTACATTGAATGTTTACATATTATTATCTCTTAGGCAACCGACGAATCAGTTTAATATAAAACTTATTTTGAGACAACCCGAGTATTTTTAGTCAGTTTGCTTGTAAAATATGTCATTGTCAATCGCGACTGTATAACAAAAAATGTACATATGATTTATTTCAACAGCTTGTGTTTTGTGCAGAGTTTTAAATGTAAGTGTTATCCTTAATAAATCAGCTGTATTTTCATATAATTATTGTTATTAACAACAGAACGGCATTATTTATTAGCTGCAATACTGTAAAATATAAGTTTTAACCCACAGGAAGGGGGTGGGGGGGTTAGTACTCGCGGGTGACTTTACTAAGGGTTTTCAGAGAATGCAGAAACTGAAATTAAGATACAATACCCAACGGCTGTACAGGAGGATAGCCGAGGTCCAATTTGTTAGTGGCACGAAAATAATAATTGTGCTGGTCGTGTATGACAAGCGGATGCGGAAGTCTGACGAAGACAGCTGTAACGAATGGAGTGTTAGATGAGTTGGATAAGTAATGTCCGAAAACAAGTCCAATTAAGTGAAAATGGACGTCGTCGGAGAGCAAACGATAATAACATAAATAAGGGGGGTCGAGATATGGATTGGAAAACGGTTTATATTTTATGGGAAAGCTTACTTTTGTTTGCAACGTGCCTCGATATAAATGGCTAGAAAGTCTTAGTTTTAATATACAGGGTGATTGTTGCTCCACTTTGACTCAGTCGATATCAGTCAGCATATTATTGTTGTGGCTGAGGGGGCTAATGACTATAGGCATATCTATATAGTGTTAATATTGACTTAATCTTATGTCATCTACTGGTGAATATGATAATAGGGATGTGCTTCGGCAGAAAATATCGAGCTTTATTAAAAAAACTACTAATGTTACTAACGAGTATTTACTCCATTTATTGTAGATTGCAAAAACAGATAAGATAATCACATCTGTTCTCGGCCAATATTATACTTAATGAGCATTAACGTCATTTAACAAACGAGTAAGCCACCCTTGTACATGTAATAAACGTATTGATTGAATATTGCATTAAATCTGAATAGCTCGTTGTAGGATTTCCAACGAATTGAGTTATTTTTTACACGCTTAACGTTTTTGATGTACCACCGACTGACGTTGGCGCGTTCAATGCAATAATATTATTAAATACCTAAGCTTTAAAAAAAAACGTGATTTTAACAGCAGATTTATATCATTATAATAGTTTGTATTTTAACGCGATAATGGCTTTAGGCCGTGTGTCAATCGATATAATTACAAAATAACAAAATAATAATAATATGCAATGCAATAATAATTATTTGTAATAAAGGAACCCTAAATTAATGAGAACTGTCTAAATAAAATAATTTATTTTTTCAAACGTATTAAGCTATAATCACTAAAATAGTATAAGGTGGACATTGTAAATAATAATTTAAGAACAAGCAATAGTTAATAACAATGGTAAATGTAAGGCTAATAATCCTGTAGTTAAAACCTTAACTCAATAAACATAAAATACAAATTAATGCAAAAATCTCGATTTATTTACTTGGATTATTTGCATGTTTGCTCGATTTTTTGCACTCAATTTGAATACACATTTACTTTTATTTATTTACTCTCGTATTGCATGACGCCTTGCGCTAAATGCTCGATTCATTTACTCGTTTACTCAATGTATGTACTTTATTTATTTGCACGTTTTCTCGAAAAACCGTAAGATTTTTCGCATGACAATTCGTTCTCACATTTACTTAATTTATTTACTCGATTACACGGTTTGATTATTCGTTTTCAGTGAAGTCTCACGCTGATTGCTCGATTTCTTTACTCGTTTATTTAATTTATTTACTTGTTTTGCGAGACTTGTAACACTAAAATATTATGTTCGATTAATTTTCTCGATTTTTGTACTCTCTTACTCGATTGGTTTACACATATACTCAATTTATTTACTCCTTTTCCGTGACTCGTCTCGCTAAATGCTGGATTTATATACTAGTTTACTCGATTTAATAATCTTACTATTTTCTCGTTTACTCGATTTGTTTGAACATTTACTCGATTAATTTATTCACTCGTGACGCGTCACGCTATAAATGCTCAATTTATGAATTTATATACTCGTTTACTCAATGTATGTACTTTATTTATTTACACGTTTTCTCGAAAAACCGTAAGATTTTTCGCATGCCAATTTGTTCACACATCTACTCAACTTATTTACACGTTTTTCGCGATACGTCAAGCAAAATACTCGACTTTTACTCGTTTACTCAATTTGTTTACAAGTTTATACAATTTATTCAATCGCTTAATTGTACTGCTCCCCCTTTCCTTAAAAAATTGATCTTATATCCTACACATTTCTAGCTTTAGCACAAAAATCTCAAGAGTCTAATTTTTTTTTTATGAGTACATGTGTATAATATTATTATGGCTGTTATGTTATATCACCGACGGTTGGCCGAATAGGTATAATAAATATCCGTTGGCAGAAAACGCACATAAAATGTATTATATTACGGCAGTTGCCAACGATCATAAATGCATTGTGTCCGTTTAT